CGAGGAGTATAGTGGAGATTGAAGCGTATTTCCTGTCCTTCAAAAGCATCCTATCCATCTCGTGAGATACTTCGGTAGTTCGACCTTCCTGCATTCCTCAAGGAGCTTCTCATGTATGACGTTGTTGAAAGCTCCTTGTGCGTCTAGGGCGAGCGCCGTTACTACCTTCTTTTGCTTCCAAGCATTTTGAATGAATTCAGTGACATATAGTAAAGCATCGTCTGTACCGGAGCCCTTCCTACACCCAAAGTGCGTACTCGGGATTAACTTTCTGGTATCTAATTCATATTGTAGTCTCTTTGTCATGACAGTTTCAATCAGCTTCGAAAGATGGTTGAGTAGTGAGATCGGACGATAACTACTCGCTTCTCGGTATGACTTCTTATTCGGCTTTGGAATCACAATGCATGTCGCTTCTTTGAAACATTTTGGGTAATGTCCAAGGCGCAAGGAGCTATTCGCTATCTTTGTCAATATGGATACTATTATCGGCGTGAATTCTTTTATGGCAGAGACCTGAATGTTATCTGGTCCTGCCGCTTTCCCAACTTTCATTTTATTTATAGCCACCGTCATTTCCCAATTTGTAATTTCCTGGAAAGACCCGTCAAGTGTATCGTCGGGTCGCGTTCCCAGGGCCGAAGTGGGATTGATGTCTTCACCTTGTAACAGGTGTTTGAAGAGTGTCTGAGCCTGCTCTTCTGGGCTAGCAGTAAGGGTTTTATCTGTTTTAAGCAAAGGGGGCACAAATGGTGACGGGATGCCACCATTTTTCACGTATCTGGCTGCTTTATGGACTTCATTTGGTTTGATATTTTCTAAGAAGTTTCTCTCGTAAAGGGCTTGAAGAGCTTGTGCGTTCCTGAGCATTGGACCTAATTCGAACCGAATGTTGATCTTGGTTATCTTTCCGAAAAATGAAACCGCAAGAGGTGAAAATTTTACGTAAAACATAACAAACTATTTACAACTCAATTGAGATCGTAAAAAATAACGGCTCGATGGTCTAGGGGTATGATTCTCGCTTTGGGTTACCAGCTTGCGAGAGGTCCAGGGTTCAAATCCCTGTCGAGCCCCAAATTTTAAATTTATAATTTCAAATGATCTTTTTACTTGCATTAAGTTTGATGAATGTATTTTTATGTCAAAAATTACTTTGAATAGAATGGCTTGTGCTTATTCTCAAATATGATAATTTTTTTACTCACCCGTTCTGTGATGATATGTCCCTTGTATAGCTTTCATTGTCGCCTTGTTTCTTTTCAAACCGCGTTGTTATTGACTTTATACATCAGCTCCTAATGCGAAATTGACGTTATACATGCGGCACTTGTGTTTTTGTTCCAACATGCAGACACTTAGATAGCGAATTTGGACATCACCCGTAGCTGAAAAAAGAAATCATCACTAGACAGACAGATGCTATTTGAAATAGAAGTTACTTGTTGTTCTTGTTCTTTTAGAGATACGCCGATTGAAACAAATTAGACATGTTCCACATTCCACATACATCATTTATCATAAAATATAATGCAAGTCATATTTAAATTTATACATATCAAAGAAAAATAAGGATTTTCCTGCAAAAAATAACTTAGTATTGCAATTCAACGTCATCCCCACCTGCAACGGTATCTAAATCTTCATAAGTGTTATTAGATTGTGCACGTGGATCAAGTTTTGCACCTGGTGGTGGTGGTGGTTTAGGTAAGTTGCTCGCTTGTGAGGGTTGTGATTTATAATTATTTAATGGTGCTTCTCTATAACTTGGTGGTAAAGTATGTTGTGGTACACTCTGAGTCCATGCTGGTATACCCGCAGATTTATACCTCTTATTCTGAGAATTATGGTGATCATCATATGAACGTTTATTACTAGTAAATTGACTAGTTGATTGTATTGACTGTTGATATTGTTTTGCTGGTATACGACGATTCATAGATGCAGGTAAATCTGTTGGTGGTAAAATCTTATGTGGATCAGCTAAAAAGTTATTAAAAGCTTGTAAATCTATTAAATTATCACTTGAAACTAATTGGTCATGTTTGTTCAAAATATGCTTTTCTATAAACTCCAATGCTCTAAACAACTTCGTACATTCTAAGCATCTAAATTTATTCTCATCTTCTTTCTTAACTAATTTGTTAGCGACGAGTGAGACTTCTTTATCATAATCAATACCACCAATTTTTGTATAATCTAGATTTTGGTCGATTATTATTGAAATTTTCTCATCTAGATTCTTTATCCAATTATCCTGCGGTGAAATTCTATCATCACTTTGATCAGCGTAGTCATTGTCAGTCTCCCTATAAAACATGGATGATTTCCTTTGTAATTCTTCTTTAAAGTCGTTTATAGATGCGGAATAGTAACAACTATTGAAAGCTTGTCGTAGGTAAAGTATGTAGAAGTCCAGTTCTTTCTTTATACGCTGTATGTCATCTACGATGTTCAGATGCTTTATACGGTTATTTATGTGATCAGATATCGATATAGGATCATTTGATTGTGTGTTTAAGTTATTATAAATAGATTCCAAGTGGGTTGTAAGTTTTCTAATATTTGATAGATCCTGCCTCAATCTGTCCGGACTGTTCGTAATGCCAGGTGCAACTCTCGCCTTTGTTGTAATCGGTTGATCAGTTTTAGTGAGGAAGAGAGTGAAATCATCAATTTTAGGATTCTTGAGGGTGGTTTCGAGGAGTTCATTGACGTCTACAGACTTGTTAAAGTTAATCCAACCAGTTCTATGGAAACGTTTAGCGGGCTGTGGATCAGATATAGCCAAGTAGTCGAAACCTGGGATAGTGTTTAGAAAGTCTTCGAGCTTCTCCCTTGAGAGATCTGGAGGGATGGATTTGATAAAAATTTGCGGATTCTCTGGTGGATCTAGTGTGTATGGCAAAGTGAGATACTTCTCCTGTGGTAACTTTTTACGTGAGTCTGGAGGTTTATCGTAGGAAATAGAATCGTAATGACCATCGTTTAGGTTAGTGATGAAGGTATTTGGATTGTTATTCCAGCCTTTTATTCTCAGTTTGTTCCTCAATTCCTTGAAAGAATCGTAATACTTTTCCTGAAACCAGGGTTTAGATTTTTGTTGCAAGAAGAGAGTAAAGTACTGGTGGGTGTTAACTAGTAACTAGTGGCTAGAAAGCAAACGCACCTGTCTAGATAAGTAGTCCCTCTTGTATTCCTGATAACTCAAATAGCAGCTCTCTTTATCGTCCAACAAAGCAAACTGTTTAGATAATTTTAAATAAAACTGGTAGTCTTTATAGTTTATTAAATAATCTAAAGATTTCGGGTTTATTGGATTACTCTCTTCATTCTGATGATGATAGCTCATTATATAGGGATAAAACTACATTGATCACGGTTGATAGACATTTTCAGAAGATTTTTTATAATAATTTATAGGTAAAATTGGTTCTTTAGTATCTGGGTCAACTTGTGGCACAATCGAGGACTAGGGACTAGTAAGCACACTGAGACTGGGATGTATGCGGATAATATACCTTTCGTATTGACTCCTTATACGTCTCCTCCTTTTTCTTCTCTACTTCTCGGTTCTCCTCGACCTTCTTATCCTTTCCCACCAATTTATCTAAGAGTTTCATACCAGTAAAAAGCCAAGAATATTAATTTCTAACAAAAATAACAATAATTTAAAATTTTCTAATCGAAAGTCATCTTCTTTCCTTGTGGTGGTGCAATAGCCCCTGTTCTATTTGGGTTGCCACCTCTGCCTCTTGGGGCCCCTCCTCTGCCACCGCGACCGCCGAATCCACCTCTACCTCTTGGTGCGCCACCTTGTCTGTCTTTTGGTGTGCTGAAATCTAATCTGATAACTCTACCGTCGAGTTCGCTGCCTGCTGCACCATCAATAGCTGCTTTCGCTGTGTCAACGTCTGCGAATGAGACATATCCGAAACCCTTTGGTGCACCAGTTTCTCTGTCAGTTGGTACTCTAACACTCTCAACAGAGCCGAATTCACCGAAGAATTCCCATACTCTGTCTTCATTTGTGTTGAATGAAAGGTTACCAATGAAGAGTGTGTTTGAAGGATCGCTACGTTGGTCACCGAATGATTTAGCTCTCTTTTCTGGGTTTGGTGCGCGTGGTACACTCAAATCAACTCTGACTGGTCTACCGTCGATTTCTTTGCCAGCGAATTGGTCCATAGCCTTAACTGCCAATTCATGTGATTCGAATTCAACGTAACCGAAACCTCTTGAACGTCCTGATTGTCTGTCGAGTTGAACTCTTGCTGTCTTAACTGGACCGAGTTGTTCGAATTCTGATTTCAACCAATCGTCATCAATGTTCCATGATAATTGTCCAACGAAAATTTGTGGTGTGTTATCCAAGGTGATAGCTTCTGCTGCTTCCATGTCATCGGCTTTACGCTTCTTTGATGGTTCCTCTGCAACTGGTGCTGGTGCTGCAGCTGGCTTTTCAGCTGGCTTTTCGTCTTCCTCATCTGATGATGAGTCTGATGAGTCTGAAGAGCTATCAGCCTTCTTAGCCTCTTCCTTCTTGGCAGCTGGCTTCTCGTCATCGGATGAGTCTGATGAGTCTGAGGAATCGCTGTCGTCTTTCTTAGCAGCTGGCTTCTCGTCTTCACTATCTGATGAGTCTGAGCTGTCTGATGAGTCACTGCTGTCTTGCTTCTTTGCCGCTGGCTTCTTAGCGTCTTCCTTCTTAGCTGCTGGCTTTTCATCATCTGATGAGTCTGAGCTGTCTGAGGAATCTGAGGAGTCACTGCTAGCTTCCTTCTTAGCAGCTTGCTTCTTAGCAACTGGCTTCTTCTCATCCTAAAAATAAAGTTAGAATTACGAAAGAGTGGAAAATTTGTAACACACCTCGCTATCAGAAGAGTCAGAGCTATCAGAGCTGTCAGAGGAAGAAGAAGCTGGCTTTGGTGGAGGTGTAGGTTCCTTCTTTGCAGCCTTCTATAGAATACTGTTAGAAATAGCGTATAACGCAAATTTAACAAACCTTCTCCTTCTTATCCTTCTTTTCTTTCTTTTCTACGGACTATATGGAGTGTTTAATAGGTGTTTACAGTTATTCACTCTCTATTCACCTTAACGACGTCTTTTTTTCCCATTTTCTAAATCTATCACGAAGATTAACTGGAAGCAAGAAAACGAACTTTGAATTGAACTTTCTAGGAATAAAAAAAATTAATATTTAATATGGTAACTTATTAGTTATTACTAGTTTATTTATTCACGTTATTATATAGGGTGTCCCCGCACTCTTCCGTTGGTTATCAAAAGTGTGTCTTTATTAGAGTTTCACCGTTATAGACAGTTTTACTAACAACTAAACTATAGAAATATCCGAGAATCGTTTACAAAGTACAAGAAGAACATCCAAAGCCAATCGAAAGCTCTAGAGACGATGATGGCAATATCACAATCTACTCACCAGTTGACATAACAACACCAAATCCAAATGGACAGGAATTTGATTGTTTATATCTCGATATGAACGGTATCGTACATCCATGTTCACATCCAGAGAACAAACCAGCTCCTGAAACTGAGGAAGAAATGATGAGGGAGGTTTTCTTATACACAGAAAGAGTAGTCAATATGGTTAGACCGCGTAAATTACTAATGATGGCTATTGATGGTGTAGCTCCACGTGCTAAGATGAATCAACAACGTAGTCGTCGTTTTAGATCTGCTCAAGAAGCAAAAGAGAAGGAAGAATCTAAGCAGCAATATTACAAAGAAATGGAATCTCAAGGTCATCAATTTAGCGATGAACAGAAAGGTAAGAAAGCTTGGGATAGTAATGCAATTACCCCTGGTACTCCTTTCATGGATTTACTTGCTCAATCTTTGCGTTACTGGGTGGCTAAAAAGATGAACGACGACCCTGGTTGGAAGGGTTTACAAGTTGTCATATCCGATGCATCCGTACCTGGTGAAGGTGAACACAAAATTATGGATTACATACGCAGACAGCGTTCACAACCGAATCACGACGCCAATACTGAGCACGTCATTTATGGTCTTGATGCAGATTTAATTATGTTGGCATTAGCAACTCACGAACCAAACTTTAAAGTTCTCCGTGAGGATGTTTTCGCCCAATCTGATAAACAAAGACAAAAGAACAAAGGTAGTAGAGGCGAACCACAGCAATTGAAATCTGAGGTTGAAAAGAATAAAAATCAACCTGCAGAACCTAATCCATTTATTTTCCTAGACGTTACAACACTAAGAGAATACTTATACTTCGAGCTGAAATTACCAAATATGCCATTCCCTTACGATCTAGAGAGGGCAATAGATGATTGGGTATTCATGATTTTCTTCGTCGGTAATGATTTCTTACCACATTTACCTTCACTGGAGATCAGAGAAGGTGCTATTGACACTTTACTCGCAATTTGGAAGAGATCTTTACCACTCATGGGAGGTTACGTGACAAAGCATGGTGATGTTAACCTACCGAGAGTTCAGATGATTCTCGACGGTCTGGCTAGCTCTGAAGATGAAATTTTCAGACGCAGGAAAGAAACTGAAGATAGACAAGATAGGAATCAAAAGAGACGTAAAATTGAACAACATAAGCGTGACTTAGAATTACGAAACAAAGGTTCAAATAGGGCGCCCCTACCAGAAAATAGGAATATGGATCTTTCAACAGAGAGTAGCACAAATAGCATGAATGTTGGTGGCGTTGAATACAAAAATCAGTCAGAGTTTATCGGTATAAAAGACAACAATGATTTGATTGCTAATAGACATAAAATTAGAATGGCGAATATGAACGCAGCTGAAATGCTTAAAGCTCAGATGAGTGGTGGTGTGAATATTCCGAATGAGGCTCCCGCCCATGAGGGAGATGATAGCCACAAGCGTAAGCATCCTGATGAACAACCTGACGATGAACAAGTACCTGGCATAAAGGTCACCAAAACTGAAGCAGATGATGAAGAGCAGGGTGAAGAATCGGCTCCTCCACTTGCTAATGAAGCAAACAAACTGAAAGTCAACGCTGATGGTACTGTCGAACAAGAGGATATCGTCAAGTTGTGGGAACCTGGCTACAGAGAGAGATACTATAGACAGAAGTTCGGAATTGAATTGAGTGATGTTGAAGAACGTAGAAAGTGAGTAAAAGTGGACTTATAAGTTATTTTCAACTAACAAACAAACAGGATCGTTCATAAATACTTGGAAGGATTGTGTTGGGTACTCAAATATTATTACCAAGGCTGTCCATCCTGGAAATGGTATTATCCGTATCATTACGCACCATTCGCTGCAGATTTCGAGAATATCCAAAGTTTACCAATTAATTTCGAATTAGGTGAACCATTTAGGCCATTTGAACAATTAATGGGTGTCTTCCCAGCTGCTTCTGGTATACACATTCCTAGGCCATTCAGTAAATACATGACGGAAGAAGACTCACCAATACTTGACTTCTACCCGGAAGATTTCCAAATAGACATGAATGGAAAGAAAATGATTTGGCAAGGTGTTGCCCTGTTGCCATTTATTGATGAAAATCGCCTAACTAAGGCATTGAGTGAACGTTATGATGACTTAAGTGACGATGAAAAGAGACGTAACGAGAGAGGTAAAGAAACACTTATGATCAGTGAAAGTCATCCGTTATATGACCAAATTTGCCAACTTTACACCAAACGTAAAGGCAATTCAGTTATGGAATTAGACGTTCAAAAAGCTTCAAGTTTGGCCGGATTTGCTGAATCCGATCCTGAAGTTATCCCTGGATCTACTTTCTACTCGCCATTAACGAGTTTAGACGATCAGCCAGATTTAGTTGATGATAAGAGTATAGCTGTACGCTACACCTTCCCAGAGCAGCTCCATCCACATAAGAGTATTATTCTTAGGAGTTTTAAGCACAAGCCAAAGCAATTGACTCAATATGATATCGAAAAAGCTCGCAATGGTGGTGATAACCATAGAGGCGGTGGTAGTCATAATCAATTTAGAGGAAACAATTCTGCAGTTCCAACTTCAATTTACAATGGCCCAGGTCGTCCTCCAAGACCTTCTTATGGACGTCCTCAAAGACCACCACCAAGTTATATTCAAGGTAGACCAACTGGTGCTCGTCCACCACAAGGTGTCTTCTCTCCTTCTTTGGGACACACACATGGTAGACCACGTCCTCCTCCTCCAACAATGGGTATGGGAAGACCACGTCCACCACCGCCAACAGGTGGTTTCAGAGGTAATTATGGGTCAGCTAGACCACCATATCAAGGACATCCAGGAAACCAGAGGAGATATTAGTTATAATTTGTATTATTTAGTTATAATATTAAATAGTAGTTTTTGTACAAATAAATTTCTAACTTTTTTTGCAATAATTTTTCATCGTCTACATGACAATCCTAGGTAATTGTTAACAGTTAATGGATGATTTTCTCACTACTCACTTTGGTTCAGTAATTGATTGTGAGATAGACTTGTGAGGGAGAACAGACGCGCCATTGATATGTAACTCATCTTTTACGACGACATCATCACCTAAGACGGCGATATTCTCAATTCTAACCCACCGACCAATCGTACAGTTCCAACCGACGATTGTCGAGTGTATCCAACTGTGATCTCTGATTCTAGATCCATCCATAATGACACATCTTTGCAGACGGACACCTTTACCTATTTTAACGTTAGGACCAACGACGACATTTGGTCCAATTAAAGCACTTTTGTCTATCTCTGCAGAAGGGTCTACGAGAACGTTGCCGCCGTTTACCCAATTTTCAGTCTGGACATCGACCAACTTGGTAGAATCGAATTTATTAAGGTGAGAGAGGTATAAGCATGTTCCTGTAGGATGTTAGAAAGAGTACTTTTAAATATTCCCGACTAACCGTGTATATAGTCTTTAGGTTGACCAACATCAGCCCAAAATGATTGCAAATCAAATGCATGTAGTTGTCTATCTGATGCCATAGGTGGGAATACTTCCGTTTCTATAGACGTTGGTTTGAGGTCTATACGATTAAGCATAGATGGATCAAATATGTATATACCGGCGTTTATTCTGTTACCGACGAAAATTTTTGGCTTTTCTACGAATCTTTCAATTTCAGAGCTATTCTCTTTTATTACTACTACACCATAACTAGATGGTTCATCTACTTTTGTAACCATGATTGTACCTTCACTTGAATGTGAATTATGGAAATCACGAAGCTGTTCGAATGGATAACTACAGGTAACATCGCTATTTAAAACGAAGAAAGGGGCATCATCCTTCTTTAAGATATTCTCAGCCAATTTGATAGGACCTGCCGTACCAAGTGGTTCAGATTCAACTGAGAAGTGTATCTTTATATTATATTTTTCTTCACATTCTTTAAGTACGTTCTCCATTATTTCTGGTCTGTAGTTCACAGCTAAAACAATATCTGTGACGCCAGCTTTCACGAGTGCTTCTATCTGGTGTACGATCATAGGTTTATTGCAGAATGGTACGAGTGGTTTAGGTAACGTCAAAGTCAGTGGTCTTAACCGTGTACCGAAACCTGTGTTGTTAGTATTACCTACAACTATGAATCTAGCTACACACCTCCTACTAAAATCAAACTAGTAAATTGTTAATACAACGCTATTTATTTACAACAAACTTACGCTTTTAATCCCATGATGATGTGTTCTTTTTAAGAAGTCAATCAGGACAATGCGTAGGCAGCTACGTCCCCGCCCAGGCACGAGAAACTAAAATAACTGGATATCAATTTAAATGTCTATCTACAATGTGTAAGTTACATGTATAATTTATATTGTGAACTTGTGAATGAGCGCGAATAGTTAAAAAATCGTTACATTGGTTATTTCATCGGTAAAACACTTAATGCTTAACTTGCTTACGTTCCCTTAGTGCATAATTATCCGATGCTTTCTTCTTTCCATATTCATCATGATTTTCATCTGATGCTTCAGCAGGTAACTTTCTCTTTAACATTGGCGACAAATGCTGTAACTGTAACTGTGACATATCAGCGCTGCAACTTATATCAGATTTTGGATTGTAATTCTGTCCATTCTTGTTATTAGATGGTAATGGTGATGAGCTAAACATATTCTGGTTTGAATAATTCGATGAAGGTATACTGAATTTTGGAGGTGAGGAACTATCGTCATCTTGGAAAAATCCATTCCTGTATGGTGTACTATCAGCATTGCTAGAATTTTTCAATTCGCCTTGTAATGCCTGTATTTGATTCTTGATATTCTCATCTTTTTCTGTTGAGTCTACAACATTTACGTGATTTCTGTTGTTAAACTTTGGTACTGGAATTGGTGGTGGTGGTGCGGTTCTTGATGCCTTCAATGGCTCTCCTGATAACCACGGGTGATTCAGGGCATCTTTCAATGACATTCTTGTCTTTGGATCTGCTACTAATAATTTACTTATAAAATCAATAGCGTTACTTGATAATCCCAATTTTTCTAGTATATTATAATCAACTTTACGCTTCAAGACTCTTTCATGAAGTGGTTCATCTTCTTGTTCGTCGAATGGTGATGAATTTGTCAGCATCGCATAAATTATAACGCCAGTACTCCAAGAATCTACCGCTTGATCGTATCCTTCCGCTCTTTTAAGAACGACTTCTGGTGCTAAATATGAAGGTGTACCACACATCGTCTTGAGATGTGTCTGACTGTCTACTGCTTTAGCTAAACCGAAATCTGTAACCTTAATTTGGGGTGATTCCGTGTCTTTTGTGCAAAGTAGGATATTCTTGGGAATGTAAGTTAAGACAAATGACTCTAAGTCAATACTTACCTCAGGCTTTAAATCACGATGAGTGATACCTTTCTCATGGGTATATGCCATTGCTGCGCACATTTGTCTAGCAATTTCTTTCGTTTCGTGCTCAGCTTTTGTTTTGTTAGTTGCTGTTGGTGCAAATAAGCTGATACACTCACACAGACCGCCTCTGTTAATGATGTAGTCTAATAAGTCGCCTCCAGCAGCAAACTCAATGACTAAGTATATCACCTAAGATGGTGTTATTCGATTGCCAAAGTACTAAGCGGCACTACTCACCTGGTCGTCCTCAAATATGTCACAAAATCTAGCTATGTTTTCCTTGGATGGATGTCAGTGTTGTTTCTGAATCGGGTTTATTCACTTGCATGGTCCAATATCTTGATGATTCCAATTTCACGTTCAAACATCTTCAGGGTTTTTTGATTCATAGCAAACTTATGCTTAGCGATCTGTTTTATTGCTCTCGGAATACCTGAACTCCGTTCGTAGGCTTTTTTCACTGTCGCAAATGATCCTTTCCCAATCTGTGCGCTGTTGGTGGCATATAAGATGGTGTTTTGGCCACTTTTCAAGAACATACCCAATTTCATACTTCGCAAACACACCACCACCTGCGTTCTCATCTATACTTTGAGCTTTTTTAGGGCGTGGTCTGAATATATACCCTTCACACTGTCAGGTGTTTAACATGGATATAATCAAGACATACGGTAATCGTCTCCGGATCCAGGCGCATTTGACAGTGGATTACCGAAACTAACCTCGTCTCCGGGCATTAGTCTCCTCTTTACGCCTCTTCCACAGCGAACCTGGTTTATCTTGGGTTTTGTTAAAAGATTGAAGTATGTTATAGAAGTATACGTACATATGTACCATTTGAACTATTTATTGAACTTAATTGGGCGATTCTCTTGCGTAAAAGTAGACTCACCTCGTGTCTTCTAAGAAGATGACGATTTCGGTGCTAGCTGAACCAGCATCGTCTGTGTTATCATAATCACCTGTCTGGTATATCTTGCAATGGTTATTACCTAGTCATCTCTATTAGAACTGGCTCATCTCTGCTGTAGAATGACTCAACTGATCTTCTTTCCGGTCAATATAATATCATTCTCTTGTGGATGTCTACCAAATCTATACAATGGCTTCTCATTCAAGAACGTCACGCTATTGAGATCTCTTCTCCCGACTGGCATGAGAACACCCCAATAGCCAGGTTCATTTGGGTTTGGCATTGATGACGTACGCTGGGTCTGTGTAACTTGCTGTGTCGGTTGCGTACCCTCGTAGCCTTCATCCTGATAAATCGACATCGTAAATGATCAAGACGCGTCAGAATAACTCAAGATAAAGAAATTTATAAAATAAAAAATAAAATAAATACAATCTACTTGTTCTTCTTTTCTGTTAAAGAGCTTGGCGGCATCTGAGCAAGCGTCGTGTTTGATTGCTTTGGTGTAGGTGAGATTGCTAATAACGCCTTAATAGCGAATATCAATATTGGTGTCAAAATACCGAAACTAATGAACAAGGCTGATAGTAAAGGCGTCGTGAAGTAGTTGAATCCAATAGCTGGGGATGTAATTATTAGAGCGTGATTAGGGAATCTTGTTTGTATGGTCGATAATGGTAATTTATGTACTGCCAACTCGTCAGATGGGTTATTATAAGGTAGTTCAACTCACGTAGCTTATTTATATACTCTTTACGCTTTGATTCTGATAAACCATCGAGCGTTTTCGCTGTTCCTTTCACATTTATGACTGACTTCTTATCACTACGGCTCGGTGAGATATACTTGAATACATAGCAACGCCTACTAACCTCGATACTGAATCATTCTCTTTATAGTTGTGAACTTTCGACTTGCATGTCCTAGAAATCAACTGTGCGACATCCGATGGCTGTGATAAAGCATCTGAGATGCTGTATGATGATTCATAGAAAGCGAATTGGCTAGTAAATCTCTGGAGGTCGCTCTCTTGAAGCTAACAACATATTAGACGATGCCTGAATAGAGATGACTACCCACAGTTGGTTGCTCAATAACAACGACGGTATCTAGATCACAAAGATCATTTTTCGATAGTTGCTTTATATCATTACTGCTAATAGGATTCCTCATTCTGTCTATCCCAGATGACCTAAACATCGATAAGAGAGAGCTCTAAGGATAGATGGCGATATCTTACGCTTCAGTTGACGCTATAAAGAATGGTGATCCTGCCTGGCATGTACTAGCTAACAATCCTGCAGCTACTATTGATAAATCAAGTCTCATGATGATCGTGAGCTACAAAGAACTTTAACCATTCCTATCATGACTAAATGGCACAATTATTTTATTTTAAGTATAAAACAAGATGATGGCAGTAATTATCAATTATATTGCTTTTGAATGATATTGAAATCTACACTACCTTATGTCATTCTGTTGTATAGTTAGGAGAATACAAGTTAAGGAGAGATGGAATAGTTTAGTAGATAGCACTAGCGTATGTGTGGTGCATCTCTCTTTAAAACCATCTTCGAAGCGTTTACAGGTATGATTTCATGGTCTAAGAATTATAACACTCCGAACGAAGGTTAGAGGGGGATGACAAATAGAACAGTATATAAATTCACCCACTAAATCTGAATAGGTCCAATTCAGATACTAGGTTTATCATCTCTCCAATTTAAATAATAAATATGTTCTGAAAAGTGACAATGCTCTTTGATAACTACATTAATACACAATTCTCTCAATTTCACACTTCTTAGATTGCCCGACACGTTGGTAATAGGTCTTAGTAATTGCGGAATCTATTGTCCTACGGTTAAGTTGACAGATTTGAATAAAAAACATGCAAACAAAACTATACAGCCAAAATAGACATACTATTATCTCGTTTTGTCTCACTATATCCACAGTTGTCATCCCCGGTTGTCATTGCTTATGACTTCATTCAGTGGGTAATGAATTAAATCCGGTCAAGCAAGGCTAAAAAGTTGTCTTTTTATTGGATTCCATAGTCTATATATGAGTCACTTTATAATTACCCAATATAGTAACGATTTCAATGTATTTGTTACTCATGTTGGCGTCTCAGGAAACCGCAGAAGATTTGTTATTACAACACAAAATGAACAGCAATATAGGCTAGAGTTGCTTAGATTGCATTAACCCATTATTAGTATTCTTATCAGCAAGTCAACCTATTACCTTTCACGGATTAGGATTCTAGGCAATTGTGTTGCCCCGCGTTTTCAAATACTCTCGACCGACGAATCCGACCAGTATGACTGCTGAATAAGAAATTAAAGAGTCTGTATATGAAATGTAAATTAATTATCATTATTTTATAATGTGTGGATACTGGATGAGCTAATTGAGTGCACTCCAAATTAGGCGCTTTTAGTTAGCCGCACTTCTTAATTAGCTACTACCATCTTCTATTAATAAATGTTCAGAAGAGCCTCATCAAGACTCTTGTCTAGGAATGGCCTCATTGGCTCAACCGCTGCATTCGGTTTATCCAGTTATGCCTACTTAAACGCGCAAAAGGAATCTATCAGCATGGACGACTCAGTTGATCGTCGCCCATCTGCACTCTGGACACCACCTACACGTGATCAGATGCTCGCAAAGTTAGGTGCCACTAACTCTGCCGAAAAGGAAGAACTTTGGGACTTGCTTATCGTCGGTGGTGGTGCCACAGGTGCCGGTGTCGCAGTAGATGCTGCTACTAGAGGCTACAAGACCGCACTCGTCGAACGTGACGATTTCTCATCTGGTACTTCATCAAAATCCACAAAGTTGGTTCACGGTGGTGTCAGATACCTCCAAAAAGCTATCCTTGAACTCGATTACGAGGTGAGTATGATCTTGCAAATTGAATCTTTATGTCTAACAATCTATAGCAATGGAAACTCGTCCGTGAAGCCCTTCACGAACGTAAGACATTCTTGGATATCGCTCCTTACCTCTCACAACCTCTTCCAATTATGTTGCCAGTCTACACTTGGTGGCAACTTCCTTACTTCTTCATCGGTTGTAAGGTCTACGATTTCCTTGCCGGATCACAAAACATGGAATCTTCATACGCCATGTTCAAGGGCAAGACAGTTGAATCATTCCCAATGCTTAAGTCAGACGGTCTCGTTGGATCAGTTGTTTACTACGATGGTCAACACAACGATGCACGTATGAACATGGCTTTGATCATGACTGCTGTACACCACGGTGCCACAGTTGCAAACCACACTGAAGTCGTCAGCCTTTCAAAGGATGCAAACGGCAAGATTGAAGGTGCTAGACTGAGAGACAACATCCACAAGACTGAATGGGATGTTAAGGCCAAGGGTGTCATCAACGCAACTGGTCCATTCTCAGATGGTATCCGTAAATTCGATGAACCACAAACTCAAGAAATTGTTGCACCATCATCAGGTGTTCACATTACCCTTCCATCATACTACTGTTCCCCAGAGCTCGGTTTGATTGATCCAAACACATCTGACGGTCGTGTCATTTTCTTCTTGCCATGGTTAGGAAATGTCATCGCTGGTACAACCGACTCACCATCAAAGGTTGAGCGTAACCCAGCACCAAAGGAAGAGGAAATCCAATGGATTATCGATGAAGTCCGTAGATACCTCTCACCAGACCTTAAGGTCCGTCGTGGTGATGTTCTCTCCGCATGGTCAGGACTTAGACCACTCGTTCGTGATCCAGCAGCAAAGAACACTCAATCACTTGTCAGAAACCACATGATTAACATCTCAAAGGCTGGTCTTTTGACTATCGCAGGTGGTAAATGGACTACCTACCGTGCGATGGCCGAAGAAACAGTTGACGCCGCTATCAAGGAATTCGGTCTTGAACCAAGAAAATGCCAAACCACCAAGGTCAAGCTTGTAGGATCACATGGCTGGACTCCTATGATGTTCATCAAGCTTATCCAACAATTCGGTTTGGAAACTGATGTTGCTAAGCACTTGTCTGCTACATACGGTTCATTAGCATGGAACGTTGCTGCTATGACTGAAGCAACTGGATTGAGATGGCCAATTCACGGTACAAGACTCGCCACCACATACCCATTCCTTGAATCTGAAGTTAGATACGCTTGTCGCTCAGAATACGCTCAAACCTCAACTGATGTTATTGCACGTAGAACTAGACTTTCATTCTTGAATGCTCAAGCATCACTTGAAGCACTTCCAAGAGTCGTTGACATTATGGCAGAAGAATTAGGTTGGGATCTTAGCCGTAAGCAACAAGAATTCGATGAGGGTAAGGAATACCTCATGACCATGGGTCTTCCACCAACCAAGCAAAACCTTTCATTGGGTGATGTCAGAAGTGGTAAGGTTGTTGACAGAGAATCTAAGGAAATTGAAGATGCTGTCTTCGCCAGAGCACAATTCTCACCATCTGAATTGGAGACACTTAAGGACAAATTCGCTGCATTGGATGTTGATCATGATGGATCAATTACACGTGAAGACCTTGGCAAATCACTTCACAACCTTGGTTATGAGAATGTTTCAGAGCAAGCTATCACTGATGTCCTTAGAGACACTCAACACAGAGGTGAGATTTTTTTTTATGTTACACACTAATATTGACGTAATTTAGATGGTGTCAACTTCACCGAGTTCCTCGATCTCGCATCAGGTCTTAAGGAAGTTTCCCTCAGTAACGCTTTCACATCAATCATTTCACAAGTTCCAGCTTCATTGCAAGAACACGTAGCACAAACCCACCTCGGAGGTCCTGAAGGACCAAACCCAGTTGGACATGGTGCTGCAGCAGATGCTAACAGCCCAGCAGCTGCAAGTGGTGGTGGTGTTTAAACTGCTATGTTGACGTAAAAAATCTGAACAATTCTTTAATTTAGATAGTTGATTGACTCAAAATTTGTTATTCTTAATGCACATTGATTTCTAAAAAAAAGAAGGTTAGAAAATAAATAAATAAATAATACAACACTATAATGTTTCTCATAAAAATATATAATTTCTATTGCTTTTATCTTTGGAATAAGCATTCATCAGCTTAAGTGACTAAAAGTGACCAAAGTGTCATAAAGACTAGTAAATCACAATCGAAGACTACGCAGGATCATATAAAAGCATGTCATTCCTCGGATTTGGCCCTTCAGTTGAGCTATCAATAGCCCTCAATGAAGAGCAAGATCGCAGGACAGCCGAAGTGAAAGATCAGAAAGACCGTAAGACTAATTGTCCAATTTATTATGATGGCGAGAATGTTAATGGTCAGGTTAGTCGTATTCATACTCAGATGCACCCCCTCTTAATCAATATTTAGGTATCGGTTAGAGTTAAGGATGGCAAAAAGATAACGCATGAAGGTATAAAGGTTGAATTCATTGGTACAATTGAATTATTTAATGATAAATCTAATCATCATGACTTTCTCACACTCTCACAAGAACTCGCTGGCGCTGGTGATCTCCGTTCTTCTCAAACATTCGATTTCAATTTCAAGAATGTTGAAAAAGCATATGAAAGTTATCATGGTATAAACGTTAATTTGAGATACCTCATTAGAGTAACTTTATCAAGGCGTATGAATGATGTCGTACGCGAGAAAGAACTCTACGTACATTCACATCGTATGCCACCTGAAATTAACGACGTTATTAAAATGGAAGTCGGTATTGAAGATTGTTTACACATTGAATTCGAATATAGCAAATCAAAGTATCACCTTAAAGATGTCATAGTTGGAAAGATATTCTTCTTATTAGTTAGAATTAAAATAAAACATATGGAATTATCGATAATAAAGCGTGAAAGCACTGGAAGTGGTCATAATCAATACAATGAATCTGATACAATAACAAAGTATGAAATTATGGATGGTGCACCAGTAAGAGGTGAAACCATCCCAATACGACTCTTCCTCGGTGGATTTGACTTAACACCTACATTCAGAGATGTCAATAAGAAATTCTCTGTAAGATATTACCTCAATTTGGTTCTCATAGATGAGGAGAATAGGAGATACTTCAAACAACAAGAAATAACAGTCTACAGAGATGAAGATGTGAGTTAATTCTTTTACACTGAAATGAATACATGTTTAATAGCTACTACAGCTTTCATAACAATCTTGAATTTGTACAAAGAATGAATATACCCATGTCCATATTTGAATATGCGTATATCGCGTACTATTGTCCCTAATTCGTAATTGTGTTTGTATAAAATACACCTGCTCAGTAGTTCAATTTAGATACCAAAATAATCTGTAAACCAAGAGCTAAATTGAATTGAAAACCAGAAAGTAGAAAAGTGAATAATCAAAACTACCTCTATGTTAGCCTATAACTTCTGAAATGAAATGAGAGCCTCACCCATAATTATAATTTTGGAGTTTTATCCTCAGATTCTGCAAAACGCTTCATACGGAATGATTTCCAACCGTCAATATCGATCAAAGCTTGCATACATCCCCATTCAATAATCTTACGCTCCAACCATTGGAAATTAACGGGTTTCGTTAAGAAATCATTACACCCTGCCTCTAGTGCTGCAACTCTATCAGAAGTTGCAGAGGAAGCTGTTAGGGCCACTATAATAACTGGAGACCTGAATTTGAAATTCGTTTGTATCGAGCTAGCAAATGATCGTATGGAAGCATCATGTGGTAAATCATCCGATGGTTCACTTGCTTGTCTAGGTAATTCTGACGGCGGTGTTGATGGGAAAACGCCGATGTTTTGATTCTTTTCCATAGCTCTTATTTGTCTAGCTGCCTCTACACCACTCATGATAGGTAAAGCTAAATCCATCTATACATCTGTCAGCTCATGTTGTGCGCCCGCAAATAAACTCACCAGAATTAAATGGAATGTACCTGTTCTCCATTTCTCGACAGCTTCTTCACCATTCAACGCGATATCGTATTTTACATTACGTCTCGTCATGAATTTCTTAAGAATAGTTTGGTTAATTGGGTTATCTGCATGTGTTGTTAGTAATTATGATAAGAAGAAAAACCAAAACCGACCCTCAACGATAAGTACATTAACTGGTGGTGTTACGTTACTTCCACTCATCCAACCGCTGCTCACGGACTTGGCCGGATAATCATTGGTCTTCGATTCATTGTATTTACTTTGAACATCTCTTCTGGCAGCTTGAGCAGCATCCTTAATTGATTTCAAGACGGACTTTGATCTCTGCCTTGTATTAAGTGCTGGCCTCTCACCAGGCGATCTTTCAACGAGGTTGTCGAATGGATTCTCTTTCTGTTCTTGGGTAACATCAGGTGAATCTGTTTTAGGTATATCCAAACTATTTCCGCCAAATGTAGACACACTAGCGTTTGATCCCTCTTTTACGGTACTGGTAGATGTAGAAGCTGATGCTGTGCTCACAGATTTCTGAGATACTTCAGTCTGGCTACTATTTGATTTCTTTTTATCAGGTCCTGGTATCCCTTTGACTGACTGTGTAGGTGTTGGTGTACCGTGTTGATCACTCGATGGTGGTCGTGGAATATCCTCAGATTCGTCAAGTGTGAATTTAGGCAACGACGTAATAGAAGGTGCTGCATCTGCATACATCGCTGGAGGTGGATCTGACTGTGAATGATTAAGCGTGTCCGGCCTTTCAGCAGACTCTTGAGCGACTTCATGCAAAGCCGTGGTTGACGCTCTGCTGACAATATTAGCATTTTTGGAGTCTTCATCTTCAGCCCTTTCATCTTCTACTAATCCATTCGACTTTGCTCTATCTATCATTTCCTTCAATCCAATATTTGGCTTGTAAAGTGCTGAACGTCTGACGCTACCATGTCGACTGACAGCTGGGTTGGCGTTTGAATGACGTCTATTACGCTTGACTCTACTTGGATTAGACGATGCCTGGGTCGTATTACTACCCTTTGTTTCTACGTTTTCATTCTTCTCATCCGAATGAAGTTCTTCAACTGGCGACTGAGTTGGATCGAAGAATACACCAGCTGCTCTACCATCGTGTGATTGAATCAACATACCCTTATTACCGTCACCAAGTTCTGCAGCTTTATGTGAAAAGTAATTTATAGCTGTTGTATCCATAGGCGAAGTCACTGATTGACTACCTCGTGAAATCGAGCTAACATTTGATTGAGAATCATTGGCGAGATTCTTGTGATGGAATTGAGGTGACAAGTTGTCATTCAATTGCTGGCTCGATATCGATGGTGACCTGTGACCAATTTGATCTGATGGCGTTTTATCTTCCTCAGTACGTCCAAGTGAAGACCTTGACGCATTAAACGACGAGTAAAACGAGGACCTTGATCCCGATGTACCTGTGTACACGCTAGGGGATAGGGGTGTAGTTGCCAATGGACGGAAATGAGGATCAACAACTGGTTTATTAATAGATGTATGCAAAGCTGTCAAGACTCTTCGAGGCCCTGCTGGCTTTGGCAGTACTTGTATATTAGGCAAGTCGAAATTGAAAGATTCATTACTTGATGTGTCTAGAGGTACCCTAGCCGAGAGTATTGCATCAATCACAAGTTTGTAATTCTCAAGACTGGTAAAATGGATGAAGTATGGTCCGCCATTATTTATCTGTGAAGATGATGGCTGGTCTAGTTGACTTGAGTTCGTATGCCTTGAATGTAAACTTGGCCGATTCGTTTGAGGATTTAAAACCTTCGTTTGAGAAGCAAGCGATTGATGATATCTTCTTATTACCTTCAGCCGCTCACTGTTGAGCGTTTTCTTAAACGTAATAATATCGTCATCTATTATAATAAAGCGAGCTTTATTCGGTATATCTGTGTGTTTTCCTGATTCATCCTCTGCACCAATTGTGTGGTTTTCACTATTAACACCTAAACCAGTCTCAAAAGACGTGTTGTCATTGGATACATCCGATGGTGTCATTTCTTCATTCTCACTAGTGCGTTCTGTTGTTAGAGGAACTTTCGTGTTTTGGCTTTGAGAAGACAGATCGTTGGCGGAGTCTCCATTATCTATATTGTGAACATTGACTTGCATTCTCCATGAGGAAAGGTATCCACAAATGTGTTTCGCGAAAATGTTATCAGGGTGACAATAGAATTCTGCTTCATAGTTGTGAAGGTCTTTGGTTGCCAAAGTTTCTAACTCCCTGATAGTAGGTTCACGTGCTAATGCGAAATTTTGTCCGAATGGCTGCCGACTAGCTTCTTCTTCTGGTGTAAGCAAACACTCGGGTAGAGGGTCGCCTTCAAGAAGGCTGAGAACAAAATCGTAGCATCTCCTATGAGGTTCGTCTGGAGTACATGCGAACACTGGTCTAGATTTGAGATCTACGACTAAGTCACTGAGTATGTGACGAGTTACTAGATTGGCGAGAAAAGGTGAAGGTATGTTTTGTTGTTGGAGTGAAAAAGCTGATGCTTTAGGATGATAGTGCTGGATTTCGAAGGTGCAAGTAAGACGTGATGTTTTGGTCTCAGTCTCATCATCAGGCTCAGGAGTTATATGGAGACTGATCTCTAATGACGATCCTGGCAATGCTGTATCCAAAATCCTTCTGAGAATCTAATATGAAGTCAGATGTGACCTATGCTTTGATAAAAACTCACATGCAACAATCCAAAAGATAGAGATCCTTCATTTATACTAGCTCGATCACCTTTGACAGATACATGCTGTAGATTAGCACCAGCATGAGCTATGACGATGTTTATCGAGCGTTCTGCAGCTAAACCAGCTAGACTGTCAGCGATACCCTGCAACATTTCACCAATATCCCATGATTTATTGAACTTTGGTGACATTAAACGACTTGATTTGGAGGAAGATGGAAATACCGAAAGGTAGTTTAAGACCTTTGATACTGTCAAAAAGGATGAGACTGAAGGTGTTGGGAAGGTAAGTCCACAAGCTGCATACTGTTCTTTCGCAAAATCAAGTAAGTGTGGTGGTGATAATTGTATGATAGTCTGTACTGTTAATTGAACAAGGTTGGCGAGCTCCTGTGACGTTTGGTTTTGTAAGGCTTTTGGGTGTGAATCAGAGGCATCATCTGAAGTGTGGATGAAGTTAGATAAACCTGGCTGCGCGAGGTGACCTAATCTAGATGACATAGGTGCAGTAAAGGCCCTTTGTAATAACTGATTGTATTGGCTGCTGTCGAGATTAAGTTCACCCGTCTGGTTTTGGAGTAGATAGACTTCTGGAGGCACACCATCGACATAACTAATAGACCTGTCGTGTATAAACGGCTTCACTAGTGTAGATGCATGCTTATTTTCGTCTGAATATCTGTCTTCATTGAGATCTATGACTGATTTTGGGATGAGATCTGCATCTGCTCTAGCGAGATTTGAAATACCATTTAGATTTGTACTGATATATTCTCCTCCAGCTGAGCTCGATGTTGAAACTGGTGAGCCGCTGCGTATGCTGCGTGCACTCATTCAGTTTCGCCGTCTTGATAGTACGGAGTTGAGGGGTGCAATTGCCACTTTGATAGAGATGATGGGAAATTTGTTAGGAATATATATGTCTGTATATATATAGAGATCATACCTATACAATATTTTATAAGATTTCTTGATCCCTACGTAGCCAGCTGCCTGGGTCGTCGGGCGAGAGATGACTTATTTATGTGGAGATGTATAATACATGATTACATATACGTACACTAGAGTACTCATCTTTATATTAAAAATAGTATTTAACTGATATACGCATTTTACGGCCTAATAGAGAGATTAAATAGCAGGAAGCGAACTACAGATATAATAAACAGTAACCAACTACACAAAATCCTTAATCCGAGATTTACCGCTACTGTGTCTGGACGGTAGGTGAGAGGTTGAAAAGCACAGACGTAAAAAAATACACAGTGTAAGGTATATAATAATAGCATATTGTTCACTTAAGTAGCTTTGAAAATAAAATATTCTTTTGCAATCAGATCGGATCGCATCTTTCTCAGTAACCACCAAGACTAAAACACTAAAAATGATTCCAACTGTCGCTCGTGCATTCAGCAACACCGCCAGATCAAACAGACACGTCGCTGTCCTCGGGTGAGTGCTATCTCTTCATACACTCAAAAACTGACGATAAACAGTGCAAACGGTGGTATCGGTCAACCACTCTCTCTCCTCTGCAAGCTCAACAACAACGTCACTAAGCTCAGCTTGCTCGATTTGAAGGGTGCACCAGGTGTCGCTGCTGATTTGTCCCATATCCCAACAAGCGCACAAGTCAAGGGCTACAACCCAGAGAACATTGGCGAATGCCTTAAGGGCGCCGAAGTCGTCATCATCCCAGCTGGTGTCCCAAGAAAGCCAGGTATGACCAGAGACGATCTTTTCAACACCAACGCCTCTATCGTCAGAGACCTCGTCAAGGCTGTCGCTGAACACGCACCAAAGGCCTCTATCCAAGTTGTCTCAAACCCAGTCAACTCCACCGTTCCAATCGCTGCTGAAGTTTTGAAGAAGGCAGGCGTTTTCGATGCTAACAAGCTCTTCGGTGTTACCACCCTCGATGTTACCCGTGCATCCACCTTCATCGCCGAATCCTCAGGCAAGCCAACTGAAGGTCCAAACTACACTGTCCCAGTCTACGGTGGTCACTCTGGAAAGACCATCCTTCCACTCATCTCACAAGCTCAACCAAAGACAGAACTCCAAAAGGAAGTCCACGAGGCACTCGTTAACAGAATCCAATTCGGTGGTGACGAAGTTGTCAAGGCCAAGGATGGTGCAGGTTCAGCTACTCTCTCCATGGCATTCGCTGCTGCCAAGTTCGCAGACGAATTCATCCAAGGTTTGAACGGCAAGTCTGTCACCGTCCCATCATTCGTCAACCTCAACCACGTCGCCGGTGGTAAGGAAATCCAAAAGGAAATTGGTGCTGAGCTCGAATACTTCTCTGTCCCAGTCACCCTCGGTCCAAACGGTGTCGAAAAGGTCTCATCAATTGGTCAAATCAGTGACTACGAGAAGCAGCTCTTTGCTGAAGCACTCGGTGAACTCCAAAAGAACATCGAAAAGGGTGTCGCTTTCGCTAACGCAAACTAAGTATTTTGAAGTAGGACAAATAGATTGATTGAAGTTTCTAATATTATGTGATATGTGATATTTGATATTATCTATTAAAGACCTCTCTTTGTCTTTTATGATCACACTCCCTATCTGTTCCTGCCTAAAGTCATTATCCCTCCATTTGAACAATGAGAACCTTATTTAGAGAGGACAAAGAGGTAGGAATACTAGCTTGATGTTCTTTCTCTTGATTTCAGACTATGGAATTAAGCGCACCACCGTCATATACTCGCGCTAGAAACCAACAGGCTTGGTATCAGAAAGAGAAGACTGGTGCACAGGATGCATCAAAGACTACAATTCGACCATACCTCGGTATAAAATCTCGATCTGCTATCACTTTACTAGCACCATTCATCATTGGTGTTATTTTCGCTATTGTCACTATTGCTAGCTTTAGGACAACGATTGATGGTATAGCAGGTTCAACAATCGCGTCTGCGAACTCAATTTGTCGTCATGTACAAGCTACAGCAGAAGATGCGTTTAATATGCCCCTACAAGCTCAGAGGAAGCTTGGACAGCAAGTGCAAGATTCCATAACTGATATCATAGCTGGATTAGAGAGTGTATTACTGTTGCTGTGAGTATCTATTAGGTGTTATCTTACTAGCTTACAGACTACTCAAGCATCAAAGCAATTCCTATTATTGTTATGTTCTTCATTGACTTCTACCGTTCACTTTTGCTCTGCTTTATCCAATTGATAGTACAAGCTGCTCTGGCAGCGGTCACCGAGCTGGTTAGCTTAGCCAGCAGTGCTATTGAAGATGTGGCGCATACAATCGGCGATGCCGTCAGCGGCGCGTTCAATGTAGCGAATGATGCTATAGACGGCATTAATGACCTCATTTCGTGGACCGGAAAATCTATAGATCCTATCAATGTACCCGGTCTAGATGCCTTGAATAGCTTTCAAATGCCAGACAGCGTACAAAATACTCTTAATGAGGTGAGTTATGTATCAGTTAGTGAAACGCCCTCAACAGATGTTAGATAAATGACAGACTACCTGACCTTGAAGATCTCCGCAATTATTTAAATGGAATGTGAGTGTATCATTACTCACCTGAAATTTTATAACGCATCTCAAGCATATCGGAACCGTTCAATAATCTTTATGTGTGGGTGAGATAACAAACAATGATACTCAATTCACATTTCATCCAAGCGATGTTCAAGGCAAATTCGACAGTTACAAAACGAGTGCGAACGATACTAATGCGTTAGCAACATCAAGACAACCTCAATCGTTGAACTTCTGCTCAGATTTGGACCTATCCGTGGTGACCGATCTGGCTAGCACAATCAAGAAGATAGGGTTGGTCATAATAATCACATTATCAATACTCGCTCTACTGTACATTATCTTTTTGGTATATTTGGAACGCAGTAGACATTACCAAACGAAACAATTCATTGAAGATTATGCTATTGCGAAAAGTCATGACGAAAGACATCTGATGGAGTTAATCGCCAGCAACTCAAATCCTTATGTATACAAATGGACGCGTCGTATGCCCGCTACGAGGAGAGATGGTATTAGGTAGGCACTTACATCTTGCCATAATTTTACATGGTTAACGATTGCGTTCAAGGTGGTTCGCTCTAATTATGATGCACCCTTACATCGTTACGCTGTTTTGCATGGGCCTCATAGGGTTTGTGTCGACCGGCGCTCAGTTAGTTATAATAGACAAACTTCAAAATAAGTTTATCGTACGCGCGCAATCCTCGTATAATAATATAGAGACGCAACTTGAACAGGCGTTAGCTGCGTCTACCTCAGGAATACTATGTGAGTGTTTCCATCTTTGTTCATAGTCTCATCTAACAAAATTTCTAGCTAATAAGACGAATAATGCAATTGACATCGTGGAAACCACAATTAATGATGATATATTCGGATGGGTGGGTACGTTTCATTTGAACATGCTGAACTAACACCGAAAAGCTAGATGAGGGCGTCGTTCCCATTAATGACACATTAACTGCGTTTGAGGATGGTTTAAATAATGCCATTGAGACTGCTTTCAACGGTACATTCATTGAGGATGCTATTGCTAACTACGTTCAATGCGTTATTGGATCAAAAATAGACACACTCGAAAGTGGCTTGACGTGGATACATGACAATGCACATGTGAATTTATTTAGAGGTATGCTGATAATTTGGTTGGTGAGACATCTACTTATACGGACGCAGTTCCTGAGGACATATTCAATATATCTTCATCACTAAGCAGCGCTATGACACCGTTACAAAAAGTCTTAATTGGCGACAGTAACACTGGTGAAAAAGGTGTGTCTTTCCACGTTGTCAGAAAGTCTAACTCGATCAAAGGTGCGGTAGAGAAGGTGATAGAAGCATGCAGACGTCAACTGGTTACGTTTTTGATCACGTTTGGTGCATTGCTAGGCATATATGTCTTAGTCTCATGCGTAACAGTCACGATAGTCGTTGTTTCGGCATTAATACATCGCAAAAAACATGATCCGGAAGATGAAGCACAATTTGTATTACTAGATGGCGGAGTACCACCCATATTTAGAGAAGAGAAGACACGGTCAATCTCACCATCAATATTAAACGTCAACCCTCCAACACCGGAACGGACAACAACGATAGTTCCGTCACCTGCATACTCTAGTCGGATATCCTGGGTATACGACGCTAATAACCCTGATTTGGCCGCTGTTAGGTACTCAACTTTAGGGCACTTGAACAATGTAATCGAGGGTAGGAAAGACTGATCAAATCGGGTATATATTATTGCGCATTAAGAACATCATGAACAGCTTTAACCTTGGCTTGATTAGCACCGTCAGTTGACTGCTTATCGATTCTTGTCGATATTCTAATATCTGAGCAAATGCGGCTAACGCCACGCTCATGGAGTGCCTGGTGACATTGCTTTATAGCTCTCGTAACATCATCCCATTCACCTTCAATTTCAGTACCATGACCATTTAACTTGAACGTTAACCTAGTTTGCTCGAGTGTTTGGTGGACGATTGCCAATTCTCTCGCTACGGATGAACTGCTATCATCGAGTTTGAAATTGCCGAATGGGATAAGACAAAAATCAGCGCAGCAATACATTCCTTTGTTTTGTTTAAGATTGACTGCGGCTATCAAGGATTAGGCGACGGGGAGCCCGTTCAAAAAAAATTTAAACCAGGCGGATCTTTTTAAGCAAATTTCGCTTACCTAATAAGGTATGATATTTTTTTTTGTTCTTAGCAACATTCCGATCCGCGTTCCTTCATTTATGTCAAAATGAAAAGCTCCTATAACTTTTCTAGCCAGGCAATACATAGGAGTAAAATATATGCTCGATTACTGCATTAGTTTAAATCCCTGCTTTCTCAGGCTTCATTTTCGCCCAAATGTTGGCCAGCCGAGCGATGACGGATGTTTTTTGGTTCAACCAATATTTACATATTGCGTACCTGAACGCAAATAAGGCGGCTTTTAACCCAATGTCTTAAAGAAATCGAACTAAAAAAATGAAGGGGACTTAATAAATTTATCTATAGAATAGTATAATATGCATTTTTTGTAAATTCTTTCGATTGCTGCCGCTTCCTATTCTTGTGGAGGGTAAGAATTAGCCTGGTGGAGACATCAAGAGCTCGACTGAAACATCTGGAAAAAGTCTCTTCTATTATAACGATAGGGACGAAATTAAAGATAAAAATCTAAAATGAACTTTGGGTATTATAATCCAAATGCTGCACCCGGGTGGATATACTTCCCATTGATATCACCTCCGAATGGTGGTTATCAGAGCAGCTATATAACGCTAGAGCAGCAACAGCAACATATTGAGAATGTTGCATCACCACCAGCGATTACTTCAAGAAGAAAGGCTTATCATCCGCCAAGCACAGCCAAAAGTACATACTGCATTTGGGTAGGAAATATTCCATCAGACAGTACAGTAGAGGAATTGTTTAAATACTTTTCAAGACAAGCACCGCATTCACCGAGGTTAAGTGTCAATGAGTACAGTAGTATGTCACCAAATTGCGGTGTTGAATCCGTGCATTTAATCAATAAGGTTCGTTTTAACACGCTATTTGAATTGAATTAACGTAAGATAAAGAGTAGATGTTGTTTCGTTAATTTAAATTCACAACAATCACTCAATCTTGCAATACGTGATTTTAATGGTAGCAAGCTCCGTATGGGGTCGCCAAGGCTTGTCGTACGTGTACGGGATACTAACTCTGAGTTAACGAGCGGAGTCGGTTCTCAGAGAGGTCGCAAATTACATAGAAACTGGGTCAAAATGATCTCAGAACAAAATGAGCCATCAGAAGAACGGCGAAGCAACAGATCGTTATCTAGATCAAGCTCAATAAGTTCAACATCAACAACGTCAACCTTCCTCACTAATCACTTCCCTACGCGTTATTTTATTTTAAAAAGCCATCGCTTTGAGGACCTCCTGGAGAGTGTTAAAAAGTGTAAATGGTCCACGCAAGCGCATAATGAATACGTTTTAGACAAAGCATATAGATCTTCAAAACAGGTTATTTTACTATTCTCAATTAATAGATCCGGCGGATGGTTCGGATATGCTAAAATGACATCTGGAATTATAGAAAATAGTTTCAGTTTAGAATGGTTAAAAGTCCAATTCTTACCTTTCTCTTATACAAAAATTCGTAATCACTTCAATGGCAACCGTGAAATAAAAGTTTCGCGGGATGGTACAGAGGTCGAACCTGGAATTGGACAACAATTATTGGATATTTGGGAAACAGCTCCTATACAAGATGTCTAAAGTGGAAGCTTTTAATCATTTTAATTAATATATACACGCATTACAGCATCACTAATGTTGTTTTCATGTATTCGGGACGAGATCCTGATAACTTGAAAAGATCAGCATTATATCAATCATTCACGAGATCTAAAAGGTTTAATAAATTAATAAATACACGTCATTACAACATCATTACTGGGGTCTTTGCTTATATGCTTGGTATGCTTGAAATTCTGACATACGCCTATCATGCTCAAATTTCTGATTAATCGGTGATTGTAATCTTGATAGATGGGCCCTATGTCTAGCTTGAAGTTCCTCGACTGTCATACTTCTACTCCTATTACGGTTGTTATAACCTCCATAATCGCTGCTGTCGAATTTTGACAAGGTGTTTGGTGTAGATGTGCGAGCGTAGGCCATATTGCCTGTGACAGTATCATTTGAGTACGACTTTCTAGGTGCTGGCCTATTAGCCAATGTCGGCGTTGCTCTACCTATATTTTCATAGGTTACGCTACTCTTTCGTGATCGGGAATGAGTTCCATCGTCTACCTGCTTCGGCGAGATGCTCTGGTAGTCTTCATGTGAAACCTGTTTTTCTGATTGTACCATAGTTGGCATGTATTTACCACCGACAAGCGAATTGAAATCTGGTGCACGACGTCTACGATCCATGGCAGCAGCTACCGCTGGGCTGACTTCAATATTATCATCTTGATTAATTTGTCTACTAACTCCAGAAGGTGGTGCGTAGAGTTGTCTAGAACGTACGTATTGCTCCCATTCTGACAACCGAGCTTCCTCATCATTCGGCTTATTAACTGCCTTGGCAAATGATTGCGTCGACTGAGCTCTCATCCTTTTGCTGTTTTTCCTAATTGGGAAATCAGCCATGGATCTACTAGCAGCCTTGCCGTCCTCGTCCGCTGTGTTGCGCAGCTCATCAGTACTCCTACTTCTCAATTCATCAATAGATTTACGGATATTGGCTATATCACTCAGAAGTGCTTCTTTTTGTTTGAGGTCTTCTTGAGCTTTATCAAATGATTGGCGATTGAGTAACGTTGGCGCAGATGGCGCTCTCTGTCTCTTTCCATCTGGACGTGGAGGTATAGCAGGTTCTAGTGTTTTTACTTTAGCCATCTGCGCTTCCGCTTTGAGTTCTTCTGGGTCTGGTTCGGGAAGTCCCAATTCAGTGCGCATCTCTGATCCGAACCCTAAATCAAGGGCAGGAAGTGGTCCTTCTTGTACTTCTGGTTTCATTGGAGCAGGGAGGGCAGGTGGTGGATCATTAGTTTCTACATCTTCTGGTGCTGCCGCCGATGGACCTGAGAAGCTTGACAGCGGTGGTAACAACGGTGGAGGTGACCTATTTGGACTTGGCGGTCTATCTATTATTTCTGGAGCAGGCATTTGTGGAAATTCTTGACCAAGTTGCGGACTAACATTATTACTGTCTCCATAACTATTCTTTTCCATGCTGCCACTGTGACGCTCGTCTTCGTGAAGATTTACATTTATTGGCGTAGATGATTTGTTAAAGAGTGCGTTGGATACGGCATACTTCGCAGCAGCTATTGCTCCACGTGGTGTACCGTTTTGATTTTCCCATGCAAATCGAGCATCATCTCTACGTTTGTTTCTTTTCATTTCAAGTGAGTCGACGTCTGTATCGTCTGGATCTAAGCCCATATCGCGAGCGGCTTCCTCGTCTCTTCCCATTTTTGCCTTGCGACCTGCGAGTATAGCGAGACGGTATTGTAATGCTAAACTGAGCAGCGTTGTAGCTGCTATAACTGCCAAAAGGATTATCTCAGTTTGCGTAAGCAAGAAATCCATGTTTTTGCTACTATTAGGGTTAGTTCTGGACATAAAAATAAAGAAATTACATACCTAATAGGCGGATAAAGAGTGTCATATCCTAAATTGTAAACATAAAATTCTTTCAAGCCACTCTTGACGAAACAGTCTATACCTATTATGAATGCCGAAGAACCAATAAGGGACGTAGATACGCGCAGGAGATGTGGCATTACTTTTGGATGAAAAGAGGCGACAACACAAACCTAAACTGTTGTAAGACAGCAGAAAGGGTGAGGGGAACAAACATACCGTGCCTAAACCAATGTAGAAGATCCATTTACCAGCCATAGAATGGATAACGCCTCCATCGTGCAAACATTGGATCCACCAGGCGAGCGTCATACCTGCAAATCCACATACTGCATAAGCGACATAACGTTGGAACCACCAGCTGACAACTGCCGCGATGATACCTAAGATAGCACATCCGACGAGAATTTCACCCTCTAATGCTTTGGATGCTCTTGAAGGGTTGATTGAATGTAATTTAGGCAATACCACTGTCGATAACAGTATGCACATAAGTGCAATCATTGATCCATAGGCCACAGGTATACATACACCTGTCCATCTCGATGTGCTACCTAATATAGCTAACGGGACGGCTGTAATTATCAGGACAGCTCCAAGTACACCCAATGCAGGAGTAATCTTTATCGTTAATGGAAGTTCGTCTTTTTTGTCTTCTTCGTCATCGAAATTTTCATCGTTAGTGTCATTGTTGCCATTGCCGATTGGTACGTATGTTTGAGTTGGTATTGAAGATGATTCACTAGTTATTGTAATGGAAGTAGCTGTCGCGGTGTAGGTTGTGGAAGTATTTTCCACAAGTGATGTACTACTACTATTATCATCTTGGCCATACGCGCATGCGAGAAGCAAAATCAAAACGCTTAGAAATCCGAGAACCTTGTGCATACCACTATTGATATCAGGATTGAAATTGCTATGTAACGATTCTCTATGACTTTGGAAGAACGCTGAAACTAATTCTCGTTCCAGTCCTTTGCTTTGAAGGTTATTCACTGGAATGTGACTAAATTTACCAGGAATGGCAACTAAACAGCTAAGATAGGTTCTAGTTGTTCAAGTTAAATTAGCGGACGCGTGAAGGTTGTTCAAATTTATACGTATCAAAAAATTTTTATCTAATCAAGTTAGTTGAGTATACAAAGCTATTGCGTCACTATACTTTGAATACGCCAAACAAAAATGATTAATTTCGACAACGATTGTGTCCTCTTTTGTTAAAACCCCTTGATTGATAATCGTCTTAAGGAACATGCACAGCTTTTATAGTTGTTAGTTTTTACCAGAAGCTTACGTCCGCATAAAAGCTCACAAGTTTAACCCCAGATTCTTCAATCTCTTCAGCTGTGTTTATCCAATTGATAGCATTACTTATAAATAGTCCTAGTATTGTTGATTTGATTAAATCTGGTGCTGATTTTGTTAAGTTTGCCATAACGTGTACAACAGATTTCTGAGGTGGAAGCGTCGTCAACTGCGAAAGATGCGTTGGTGATACCCCCAGCACTGGCAGGAGTACAGTGTCTGCTATATGCGGGTTGAAGTTGATAAGACCGGGTATATGATGTGGGGGTATATCTACTGTATTGATGAGGTATGCATTTTCTTTTAATTTCTGGATTAAATCAGACTTTGACTATTGTTAACATGTTATTACCTACTCTTTGCTCAGACATATTGAGCGTTGAAGTTGATGCCTTTTGAAGGAGTGCCTGTAGTTGTTCACTGAGACATTGTTAAATCCGAGTCCACTTATTGTGTAACAGCAGCTACTCTTACTCTGTTCTAACTTTCTCTTTCTCTTTCTCTATATTCCGGTATTGACTGACTGAATGCGTAGAGGTCCTCTCGAACTCATCTTTAATATCATTTAATGTCATTTTGCTAAACTATAGATTTTGTTAGTTTGCACATATTTCTAAGTATCTTCCTACATGTCCAAATGAGCTAGCATCTTTGGTGACAGTAGCAAGGAACCAGACGAGTAAAGCGTCACCATTGACGTCAATCTCTTCATCTAAAACTTGTTTAACTGAACTTAGGAATGGATTGAGTGATAGTTCGTATGGGAGATACAAACCGATGAGGCAATATGCAGATATCATTCTATCGCCTGTACTGCAATCTCGTGACTGTAGTTTCGGTAATATTGTGTACAAAGCTAGCTTAAAGTAATCATCTTTGCTTTTTCTTATCTCTTCCAAGTGTTTTTCAAGACTCATCAACGTCATACCTTAAGCGCGATATAAATTACAAAATTACAAAAACATAAAATCCTAAATAAAATGATAAACTAATTACCAACATACTCGTATGCACCTGCAGCTGCCGCACTAGTAGCTGGATACTGATCAATCGTGTTGTGAAGAACTTCATTAGGTGTCAATTGATCAAAATCCAAGTACGAGCTATCGTAGAAAGTAGTACGTGGCGTGTATTCATCTTGTGGGTTTCTATTGAAGTGAGCAAGGTTTACTGATTGATGTTGTTGTTCCAAATTTGGTATTTGTGGGACAGGCGCAATTGGTGCTCTCATTGATGCTTTTGTGGCTTCAGCTAGGGTGGTTTCATTAAATTCAGTAGTTCTTTGGCGTTTGAGTGGGTGGCTATCAGTTTCTGCGCGTGATGGTCTACCCCTCTTGTTTGCTCTGTCCTGGATTGAAGGCTCAAAATCTTCACCTTCAATGTCGTATTGATTCGATAAGCATTTCTGTACTATCATTTGGCCCTCATCTGTCTTGACAACTGGTGATAGCTTGGCCGTCGTGAATGTATACACCAAACCTGATTCACTGACGACTAACAATAAGACTTGTGTGCCAGTTAAAGTAGCCAACTCGTAGGCTTTCTTCATAATACCATTCTTACGCTTTGAGAAAGTTATATGTCTACGTGATTTATCTTTGATGTATTCGATATTTATCTTGCGTCTACCAGATTTTGACTTTTTACCATCCTCTTCCTCATCCTCAACATCTTCATCGAAGTTGCCAATTTGTGTTTCAAAACGTAGTGGTTGGTTTGCTTCTACTGCTGCTGAAGCTTCATAGTTAGCAGATCCATCGTCTTCATATGCCGATGCACTATCGTTGCTATTCGCAGGTGATGATTTTGCTACTGGCATGTTTTAACTAAAGAAGGAAACAAGTTAAATGTCTGATTTGCTTTATCCAAAAAAAATTAGACTAAAAAGCTTGACGCGTTTAAACATACCAAATATGGTATGTAAACGCGAAAATGCAAGCCCGCGTTTGGTAGGTTGCATCGCAATTATTCAAGATTTTAAGATGTAATATAATCAATAAGCTAATATAAAGACTTAGAAACAGTAGTTTATTGGCTAATATATCGCCTTGCTTCAATTTTTCACGTGATCACATAGCTTTTTCATGCACCTAATATCCGATGGAATGTTAAATAGGTAAGGCGGTCATTAAATTAATCAATCGTGGAGATATTTGCTATTGTCCTGTACTTCTAGAGGAAATAGTTTTAGAATACCAGAGCGCAAGTAAGCGATAATTATAATGGTGTATTCTTCAGGGACACTAGTTTAGAAGATAGGGTGCTCATACAGCGAATAGATTACTCTCCACCTGTTGAGGTACGTTATAAGAATCTACAGGGAAGATACTATATGACTAGAATAACACGATATACAATAAATAAACAACTTTACTATATATTTGTTTCATTAAAAACACTTACTCGATACAGTCATATTACCCCGATTTGCTGGTAGGGATGGATAGATTAATAGGGACGAGACGCTTTTAGTAATAGCAAAAATTCACGATCTGTCGTGAAAGAACTAGCGTGAAGTAGCTCAGTAGATATTGACAATGGCGCCGCCAAGTAGCTGCTCTTCTTGGCTTCGAAAGTAATTGACTCAGATTTCACCTACGTAATATTTTTACGCAGAGGCATACGATCAATTTATTCACAAGGCATATGTATCGAATATTAGCTGGACCAAGTGTCAGCGAAGTCTGACAACTTTCAACGAACTGCTCGTCAGATCACCCAGTTAAGTGTAAATAGTCCTTCCACTCTCTGAATGTGTTTACGTGTCTCTTTACATTTTCTAACATACAAATTTATTGATAAGGATTGCTTATCTTTCGAGTCTTCTCAACCCTCACATGCATTTGAGAATTACATAATCATCGAAAAAAGAGAAACATGCTGATATAAAAACTTCTAAAATACCTAATTTAAGATTTTAAGATTATATTTTCCATAGGATGCTCCCTAATATCTCGGATAATTAGATAGAATCTGCCCAACCTGGTCCTGAATCCTCCACCTAATCAGTGAGAGGTGGAGAGTACGACATAACTCAGAGTGGAGGTCGAATTGGCCATAAAAGCGATGCTTTGTTCTTATTTTAGCTTAACGTTCACATTTTTACTTTAAGTAATGCCCTTACCTGGCTTGAATGGTGAGGTAAGTAAATCGTATAATCAACAGAGAACTAGCTAATTAAATCCAGAGTATACCAAGTCCACAGGACGAATATTGGTGTAAAAACGACAACGTCAACTTATACAATGAAATCCAAAAGCTCAAGCAACAGCGGGTGGCCAACCAATCCACATACAAGCAACAACAGAATACTAATAACTATACGCATCAATCCCAGGTTAGACAGGAGCATTATTTTTAATTTATTCCACTGCATGCATAGTCGCACTTTTCCTTCTTTTTATCACAACAGTAATGAAGTTATCTCCAGTTTATTTCGACATTGCATGGTTGTTTTTCTTTCAGCTCTTGATTGAAAATCTCATTAGAATAACGTACATATGATGACTGCGTTGATCTCGTCGAAAGGGTGATGATGTCAACTTGTCGATCTTCCGTAACTGAGATTGGTTGAGGAAGAGAGAAAGCGGTTTAAAGTGGGATTAGTCTAGTCTTTTTATTTAATGTATAAATTGTATTTATGACAAGTTATTAATATTACTATTTGCGACACTGGACTAAAATTTAGGCTTCCCTGACAACACCTTAACGTCATGCATTGGCGCTAGACCGAAAAACTGAACAATTGCAGCGAGCTAATATTTTGAAGGATGACATGCTGGTGTATATTTATTTACTTATCTTCACTTTTTTATATTTTTTATCCCACGAAATGTAAAATTAATCAATGATTTGCATTCATATTATCTTACCGTGGCTCTGGAATTCGAACGATCAACAAGAGAAATGACGAACCAAGAAGGATTATTCAAATGTAACATCTGTGGTGAGTGCATCCCTAATAAATTATACATTTCAGTACTAATAGTATTCAATAGGTCAAACATTCACCGTAAGATAAAGACACTGTTATAATCGCACCATCTGACAGCCATCTAACAGCGCAGACAACATGAAAGTAGACATCAACGTATACGTATGTACCCTTCTCATTATCGTGAGTTCTCTAATCGATACCACAGACACCGGAGAGAAGCCATACAAGTGCTCGCACTGCCCTGATGCCTTCTCTAGATCAGATCTGCTCAATAGGCATATAAGCAAGGTATGCATACTCTTGTGTTTTCCAACTTTGCCGATATTAATATTTAATCTAGGCTCATCCCACGGTCGAGATCATACCTAAAAGGACGAACGGTCGTCCAGGCTCACGTAGCAACAGAGTCACTAATATATCACAACAACCAATTTCTAAGGCACAGAGAAATCATGATAAGTTGGTCGATGCCGAAGCTAACGCTAGCGCGAACGGTCTCCCATATCAACAGGCCAACGATGACGAAATAAATAAATTCATGCCAACTTTAGTTGGAACTAGCGCACCAACGACTATAACTGATTCAAACTTTTTAATTAAATCGGCAACTGACAATTGGTTGTCTCAGTCGAACCCTAACACATTGCCATTGTCTCCAATGTCCATATTACTTCAGAATCAAAATCCAGAATTACAACAAAATGACGATTTTAGTTATCTATTCAATCATGACAACATCATGAGCAATTTCTTAAATTCACCTTCAATACAAGTTGAACAAAATTTTGCTACTAATACTCTTAAAGTATCTACACCTAACATGGTCATTGAAAGCCCATTTGATACATTCGATAAAGCTCAAGGTAGTCAAGTTACGAATGATTTCATCGCTGCTCTTAAAAAGAGATCATCACAAAATTTAAGAAAGATGTCGCTCAAAATGCCACAAAATGGTACCCACACTAGGCTGATTGGTGATAGTTCTCATGGTGTTACCACTTTCCATCTCAACACCAAACCAATGCAAAAAAAGAGAATGATGAAGAAAGCCAAAGAAATGGCGACTGAAAGCTTGAAACATGAAGAGGTATCACCCAAAAATGAACCACTCAGTGCGGGTACACCAGATTTGATTAGTTCAGAGTTATCTTCACCGTCATCCGTGTCTGTTGTCTCACCAAATGACTATTCCAGAAATCAAGCTCAACAAGCGATTAATGCAATACAGAAACTTAGATTCAGAGATGAAAGTAAGCCAAAACTCACAGAAGATCTTCCATTCCAAGATGATTTCATCGATCCACATCACTTTATGTCAAGCTTTTTAACAACTTGATGGAGAGATCTTTAAAATTATTTTCTTTTTATTACTTTTATTCTTGGGAAACTTTGTACACTAGCATTTTATTGGATGGAAAAGATTAAACATTAATTATTACAAAAGAAAGTTATTGAAAATAGATTAAGCTTTGTTTTTATTCTTATATCCAATACCTTTACGCCCGTTTGGATTTTTACCAGCGCTATTGTCAGATACCTGTATAGATAATGTGGATTCTTTAATGTTACCACCTGTCATTTTCTCAGCTGATAACATATCATTTTGATTATTAAATTCAACGTAAGATAATCCGCGTTGATTACCAGTTTTGTGATCTGTTAATATTTTAATTGTCGTAATAGATTCTTTGAAGTTACTAAAGTAATCTTTGATTTCATCTTCTGAGCAAGGTATTGGAAGTCCTCTTATAAATAAAGTGTTTGGATTCTTTTTGCGAGGGTTATTGGTATTATACTGTTGATTTAGTGTTGGTGATAATGGTGGATTTGTGGTATTATCTGCATTTGCGTTGTTTGATTCTACTTGTGGTTGTACCGCTATTGATTTAGTACTTCCATTATCGTTCGCTAATTCATTACTGGCGGAAGAAGGTGATTTATTCTCAGCTAAGGCGTTACGATGTGAGTAAGTGAAACCTTCTGACTTGATCTCTGAGCCAATCTTCCCATCCTTGACATTTAAGACGACAGATCCAACTGACACATCGGAAAGGTTGAAATGCCAGGTATGTTTCCAAGCCTCTTCATGGCTGAGTGATTTGCCAGTGTTAGGTGCAGGTACTCTATCAGTGACCAAAAGGAAGTTATCAAGTAAGATCCTCTGATTGTTGTCTAAAACTTGCTCAAGTTGCTCTTTAACACTATTGTAAATGTTGTGTACTGCCGCTCTACCATTGACCAGCTTCTGCATGAAGACTTCATAATTTGGCACGACGGAGAAATCATTATATGACGAGCTCATTCTGAAATGCAACGATGCTGATAACGTCAAATCCGCCTTAAGTACGAGTGCCAATTGAGCTAATAAACCTTCTCTTCCTGGTGGAGAGTGTGTAATCAACATTCTTGTTTCTGACGGATCGTACACTTTCTTGGCTGTGTCTATAAGTTCACCAACTTGCAGAGCTGTTATCCAGGTGGTGCCCTGTCCACCTGCTATTGTCGCCTGTCCGTCACCGTTGTCGAAGAGTTTATGAAGCACGAATGCGCCACCAATACCAAATAATCTTAGTTTGATATTACCAATATGGAGTAAATAGCTAGATGCTTCATCCAATACGTATAAATTGTCTATCTTGTATTCTTTCATGCGTATCTTCTCAAGTATAGCGACGTCCTCACATGCACCAGCGACAGCATAAACTGGTACTTTCAATTTGATAGTTTGATCTACTAATTGTGGGAAAGTGCTCAACAAATTCTTATCACTGTCTATCAAAGCTGAGCGTAAAGATGAAACATTTTGTTGATTGAGTAAATGTTGACGCGTTTCCTGATTTATTATTGGTGAATACGTTATCAGATGTTTGATAACCTTCTCAGTTGCTCTTTCCAAGCTGCTCTTTTCTAAATGTTGTCAGAGAAGAACAATGAAAGCAAATATACAGACCTAAGAATCCAATATCACCAGTGTGTATAATCAAGTCAGCAGATTGTTCATCCGCGAGTCTGCAATTTCTTTAGAAACGTCATATGGTGTGCTACTAACTAACCGGTTCAACGACTCGAAATCACCTCGAACATCTGCCAAACAAAGTACTATAATATTATTAGAGGTTGCCTAGCTTTATATGCTCTACTAACCTCGTTTTCCTGATATATTTTTTATTGACATGTGGTATCACTCAAGAGAGAAGTCAGAGTGCTTTCTATTGGGATTGTAGGGAAGAAAAAAAAGTAAATATTCAAATATTATAGAACTCATATCTTGTTATACTATCAATCACTTCCTTTCTAACAAAAGATCGCATCGATGACTGAGAAATTAAAAAGTACAGAAAGATAAAAATCAGGTTTAATCCCACTATATTCAGTTCATTAGCTGTATCAACTATGCATTACATCCCTACTCACCACTAAAGGCTCGGACTTGTCGATTGGAGGTATTATTGGCTTGGAATTCCGTCTAGATTGCGATAATTTCATTGACATTGATCCACCACCCTGTACTGTCCCTCTTGATTCATTCGCTTTGATGCGCTCCTCTGCAGCCTTCGCTGCTAACTCTCTATTAGGCGTACCATTCGTATTACTTGGATTACTAGTGTTTTTCTGATTTTCACTAGAGAATCCACCTAGTTGTCTACTCTGCGCCTTCTTAGAGAGACAGTTCCCCATATATCCAGTTTAGTATGATGATAGTAGTTTATCAAAATAGTCTATTATTACATATGTACAAAATTAATTCATAACCGCTTTATTCATTCTTCTTCCTCTTCTCGACGTTTGGCGTTAGTAGAGAACCGCTCGTTGAACCTGATCAGTTCGCGGGTGATGTTATCGAGCATTTGTATACTCTCAGCTGGCGATTCAGTCTTAGGCTCAGGCGTTGGTCTATCTGCGGCTTCTATTTGTACTCTACCCACGTATTCCAGCACACTCCTAACGCGTCGCTTCATTTCGCCGATTGGCATTCTCTTAGTTGGGAATTTTACCCTTGTTGGCATTTCTCGTACGATGTCGATTGTATCGCCATGCGGTATTCTTAAGGCTAGCATTTCTGGCGTCTCGCTTGGCAACATGTGACTTAAGTGCTGCAAATGGTCTGGTAATCCCCAGGTTAAGCTTGATTCATCGTCGTAGGAGTTCTTCTTATCCTTTTCTCTAGCAACAGTCTTGCGTTTGTGTGGTGATTGCAGATTTTTATCCTTCCGGGAAGATGTTGCAGCTCGTCTTGGTCCATTTGCGGTAGTTGGTGGTGTGAAGCCCGATTCTATATATTTTCATTAGACTAATAAGATCATTACCGAATTATTTCACCCACCTTCATTGTTTGATTCGTCGGTTTCTCTCCTCCTTTTCTTGTAACCACGAGATGGCGCTCTTTCGCGCTCATCCGCTGGTGCTGAGTTTGGTGAACCAGACCTTCTGTTGCTATCACTGAGAGATTTGTTAGCGATATATTAGTTAGGAAATAACCCAGTTCACTCACGTTTTCTCTTCATCGTCATTAACAACGCTCTTCTCCTTATTCCTAGCTTTCACAGCTGCAGAATTTCTGCCGTTGTCTTTGCGCTTCCCTCCACGACCTCTAGGTGCTGCAGCACGCGGGTCAGATCTGCTTCTTGGCTTGTAATCAGCTTCTCCATCAATATGCTTCTCTCTTGAGGGTTCTCGTTCTTGCTCATGCTCATGCTCACGCTCACGTTCACGTTCATTTTCTGGTACTTTATCACCATCATGATCCTCAGCTACAGTCTGTTCCTCTATTTGTTCTATATTGCCGTTTTCGTCGTCATTCTGAGAAGGCGTGACTTGTCCACCGTATTGCACCCAACGCTGCTTTTCGCGCTCAGCTATTTGTGCTCTCAGATTGTCGTTTTGTACGGAGAGAAGGCTAGCAGCTATAGCGTCATCGTATGCAGCGTCTCTGCTGTTGAGAGTAGAGCGTCTTTTCGGAGAGCGCACTCTTTCTTGAGCATCGTTTGATGAGCTACTCCGCCGTCTAGAGCTGCTAACCGGTGATTTCTGCTTCAATTCTTTCTTCTGTTGGTTGTGACGTGATGGCTTTCTACCAGGACGACTGGAGAGTCGTTAGAGAATGTAAAAAAGCGTAGATAATACCTACTTTGGCAGTACGATTGGGTGTAGCTCAGGTCTACACTGCTCACAGTAATAGGTATCTGGTGCATACTTCTCGTCGACGAGACCAACGCATACGCCGTGTTGCCAACATCCACAAGTCTCACACTGGATCATAAAACCGTAGGACTCCTCGTCTGGGAATTTCGTCAGTCGATATAAAAATACGGCTATAATAGCTCACCTGTACTGCCACACACGCAGCGAGTTTCTCCGCTGCCACCTTCACCTTCTTCCTCCTCCTCTTCCTCCTCTTCCTCTTCTTCGTGCTCCTCTTTCGGTTTCTGCTCTTCATCCGGCTCGATAGGAGCGTTATCTGAGTTTAGATCTACATCTTGATCCATTGGTTCATCTTTGGGTTGATTTACATCTTCTTTATCCTCCCCTGCTCTTGTATTATTCTCCTTATCGATTTCGCTCATTTTGGTAAAGAAGAAAGCAGAAATGGAATGAGTTATAGGAAATATAAATTTTATTCATCAACAAAATGCTACAAAGTCTACTTAGTAGGATTGCTCTACTTGTTGCTGTCGTTCTGTTAGAATGCTACGATACACACCACACACTACCCACCTTAGCGTGGTGCTTAGCGCGCTCTTTGTCGATGTGGTCTAATCCTTTAGTCTGTTTTGTTCATTAGTTTTTATCTATTTTTTATTTTTATTTTCTTATCGCACCTCGAAGAGCTTATCGACCTGGTTTTTCTTAGAGAATTCACAAAACATAAGATATAATACTCACCTCAGCTGCAGCCAAACCAGCGGCAATCTCCTTGAATTTCTCGTGGTGTACTTCCTTTCCTGTGCATTTCTTAGATGACCTCAGCGTGATTTTTGTTAAACACACCTTCTTTACGTTGGTGTTCCTCGTAAGCATGTACAGCTTCGAAAGCAGCTGGGGTGTTTTCAGTATGTTGTTATGTATAACCGTCATACAAACTCACCAGCACCACCGATCAACCTTTGCGCCGTCAATTAGCGTATTAGACAAAGCTCACTCACTCACTCGTGTGACAAGTGTGATTCGTGCTTTTTACCACCATATACATCTTGGTGTGCGGATCTAAATCACTCTTCAGCTGTCGTATTTTGTTGTAGGATGAGCACTCACTCATGCTTGTTCTTGAAAATATCGAAAAGACCCATTGTGATAGTTTATTTACTTAGACGACTTGTAAGGAAGAAGTAGAGGACTGCGCCAGTCATTCTTAAAGCTTCCTCAGGTCCAAGACAAAGCTCAATCACGTCTTTAAATAGAAATAACTAATATTAGAACATTAATGATATGATGACATTGGTATATTTCCTTTTTATAATTTATGATCCATATCAATTTCTTGCGCATTTTCCTCATAATTACTTGCTGGTGGTCCATTGAATGTATTTTTCGCATGTATAACGTAATAGAGGAATGCAATGACTGCGAATCCTATAAATACTACGCTCGCGTAATTCATACTGTCGGCGTTTAGACCATCTAGCGCAGTTGGCATTGAGAATATCACAATGCTGAGTAATATCCAACAGCAAGAAACTGTATTGACGATAAAACCGAGCCAGCTTGGCATCATAAACACAGCACCCTCCAGTGGTTTTCTTCTACGTAAGAGAGATATCATTATGGGTCCCGCGTAACTACTTCCTATGCATATGTTAGTAAGACCCCCTTTGTGATGATGCGCGTCATCATTGGTAAGTAAATTACGTACCTAAAGTTATAGTAGCGACGCCGGTAAACGCACTAAAAGCTGCGCTTTCAAAGCTGATCAATCCGAGTAGTGCGATAACTACAACTGTCAAAATGAGGGCGTTCAAGGGTAAGTAACTGTGCCAAATTTCCTTCCAGAATTTTGATCCAATGACACCATTGTCTCTCGCAAATGAGTAGCAACAACGTGACGACGTTGTTAAGCTGCCTACTCCACCTAGGACTCCGATTGTGATGATAAGGAACATCAGCCCTGTAGCACCGGATGTACCCGCAGCTTGCTGGAACAAGATAGGAATTGGTTGGTCAGCGGCGAGGAGAGAGGGTATGTCTGTCATTACGAACAGTAGCGGAATCAAATAGAGTAGACCAATCACCGCGGCCGCAATGACCGAGCCTACCATTCCCCGGGGTACTGAAAGCTCAGGATGGGAAACTTCATCTGCCATAGCAGCCACCATCCCGTATCCGGTGAGAACATACGCTGATTGAAGCAAACCCACGAACCATGCCCAGCCAGGTCTCCAGCCGGAGTTCTCTTCAAATGATGCAAATACAAAAGCCGCGCTTGTGCGTCCATTGCGAGCCATGCTTAGGACAGTAACAAGAATAACTATGACAGACGCACCCGTCCAGTATATAGAGAATGTGTTGAGCGCATCCAGGTGTTTTTGGCGAAGGAAATTTGCAGCAAAACATAAGGAGAGTACACCTAGGAAGATCAAATAAGTCTGGTAAGCGCGCGGCTCAAAATTTTCATTCCAGAGTGGCACTATCGCGATGATAAGCTGAGCTGTACCATATATAATTGACAATGCGACTGTCCAGTTACCGATCATGCCTAACCAGCCGACTACGTAACTAGATATTTTCTTGTACCGTGGTGACGCCAGCATGTATGAAAAGTAATACGGTCCGCCTGGATAGAGCGTTAGGGTGAACAAGCTAATATGAGAGTACTACCCACCTGACGTTGGAAACCTAGAACATATTTCAGCGAGCGAGAGTGCAATACATATGCTCATGAGACTTATAAAAACCCATCCCCAGAGTATGCTAGCAGGACCACCGTTTTGGAGGGCAATGCTGATTGTTGTACTTAATCCATAAGGACATGCCTGATAATCTTAGTTGCGTTCCAGAATATGCACTCGCTTACCATAATTGCCAGTCCTAATCCGATTGCTGACCAGAGAGATAACTCGCGAGGCATTTCCACTTTGTATCCATGCTCGTCTGTTGTTACAGCCGCCACATTGCTGCTTTCACTGCTCACTTTTCCCATTGACTGTTTTGATGACGTTTTTGTATTTAGATTGGTATTCATTCCAGTTAGTTTGGAATGTAAGCAGAAGTGTATTTTGTATCTGTAATATTGTCTTATCACTCATATTCTAAATAAGCGATCGCATGAGATGCTTATCTGACGCAAGTTGCTTCGCTGATAAGCGTTATCGGTAGGTCAGCGTGTGCAATAATTTTAGCCTTATGAAATTGACTAAACAGATAATATGTAATCGAAGACTTTCATTTTTAATTTAACTTCCTTATTGTCCTTTGATTCTGAATGCCATCGATCTTGCACTCCGGTTACTTATGTTGTAATTCTTTCGCCGTAAAACTTCAAAGAGAATATACTTCACATTTACAATATAAACTTCGATATAGAACTAAGCGATTAGCAGATTTAGTTAGAAAATATCGACATACTACTAAGCAATCATTAATGTAACTTGCTGCTAATTTATGCTTATTCACAAGATTGTGATCCGACATGATCAAAACATCAACGGGAATAATGCAAAAAAAAAACCTCATAATAGAAGTTATTTGTAGCGTCTTTTTTGGTGTAACAAAAGAAAAAATCATGCGATAGTAATATATCGCAAAAAGAGAATGTGAGTAGCAGGAATCGAACCTGCGTCTGCTCGGAATTGCGGAAGCCACAACGAGCTATACTAACCTCTATACTATACTCACTTGTACTTTCTTCGAGTTTTTATTGATCATTACTAGGTTGCTTAACAAGGTGCAAATTTTCATTCTTCAGCTGTCGCACTGTGTTGGGAGATGGACGATCATCATCGAAAATCGGCCGATTTGCCGGAGGGGCATAAAAACCCTCCCAGTGAATCCGCAAGCGCCGAATTCACAGGTGAGCACTTTTTAAACGATATATCGTTCGATTTCGGTGCTGCTGACGCGCGAGGAAATCTCGACGCGTCGCAACACGGGAGGAGACAGAGTCAAAGACTCAATACTAATTTAAATAAGAGACGCAGAACCGCTAATGAAAATTACGGAGCGCGTAGTTTTGATATACTTTCGTTAGCTGAGCATCTCACCGATGTGATGACGCAAACCGTCGGGAAGTTAAAAGGTGAGTTAGAAAGCAC